TAAACTACAATTCAACCTTTTTCTTCGACTGCTGTGATTAGATTTTTTTTACGGAAACTAGCGGAACCGTTAAGAAAGGGCTTCCTTCTGCCATAAGTTGAAGGGTTAAGGGCTTGTAAGTCTACAAGATAGTTTAGGGGCTCGTGTCGAAGAATAGGGTAAGTTCAAGAGCTTAAGATTTGCCATTATAATATTAATGTGCAACCAAAATTAAAAATCATCCGTTATCAAAGAAAAAAATTAAAATCATCCGTTATGAAAGAAAAAAATTAAAATCATCTAAATGTCTTATCTTCCACACTATATTTAAACCATAATCATGATGACCAAAAATTTCCATGATAGGTAAAAAGAGAAGAAATTTCCACGAACCATAGTTATCTCTAAGAATTGAAAGCCATTTTCAAACTTTTCCAGTCTTCACGTTGCACAACAGTAGCACAAGACCTGTAAAAGCTGTATTATTATTATGGTGGGGCAAAAGGACAATGAAAGCACCAATTAAATTGACTCTAAAGCAACAACGACCAAAAAGGCAAAAAGACATCGAAGTCTTGGCGAACGCGCTCGAGTGATCATGATCGAAATAGAAAAATAGGCTGCTTTAAGTCACTTACGCGGAATCTTTATCTTTAGTGTAACTTCGGGGAAAGGTGTTTTATTTGCCTGTCCGTGGATTATATATTATTATTGGTTTAATTTATATATATATATTTTTAAATTGATGCATAAATCATTAAATTAATTAAAAGATAATCAGATTTTTAATGCATTAAGTTTGATAATATAAATTCTTTATGTAAATAACTTTAATTAAAAGCATAAAATCATAAAATTTATATTAAATTGATTAGGCTACATTGTAGTCATAGTAGAATAAATTAGTTTATAATAAAAATAATAAAACTTGAAATTATAGTTATGGACATTCAAATATTAAACAATAGATAAAAAGAATTTAAAGAAAAACAAAATTCAATCTGAGGAAGTTAAACTCCTTAATCTTCTATTGTTGATGGATCATTTATCTTGATTTTTAAAAATACTCAAAAGAGAACTGTCACTAGCTTTCACCAAGCTCTCATAATTCTGAATTTGGATGTGTATTTATAAAGTTTTAAAAACCCTAATTGAAATAAAAATAAGATTTAAAACAGAATGGAAAAGTTGAATGTTAGGATGCTGAACGTATGGTGCCAACACCCGAATTAGGTGTTGACGCAAAACAAGAAACAGAAAGTTTGATTTTGGACTATTAACGCATAGTGTCGATACCCAGATTATGTGCGGACACTACACTCGTGTCGAGTTTCTAGCTTCCTTGTGCAATTTCTTTAATGGTAAAATAACAGGTCTGTCCTCCAGATTTTGTACAATGAGCACTTAGATCACAGTAGTTTAAAAATCTGATCATGGCAATCAAAGGAAATAGTCAAATCATTGTAGTGTATACACTTTTCAAATTTTAAATAAAATTAATCCCTACACTTAAACAAGTTTTACTAAAAATTTACAACAAAAAAAAAGGTATGAATCCTATTAGCAGACATTCCAAAACCCAATCATGGTTTTCATCTTTCAAGAAATCCATTAAACATCATTTTCCAAATTTCTCCCAACTCATCCCAAAATCAAAATAAAAAATTAAAAGGGCAA